TCAAGTGACATCACTAGACAAGTCATTGCTCGAGTGGAACCCGAAAGGGAAGCGGCGAGTTGGTCGTCAGTGTGAGGGTGACTTGGAGGAGGTCATGTGAAGAGGAGATGAAAGAGTGTAGGCAGACTTGGAGCGGGCTGAAAAAGTTGGCAGAAAACCGAAGGCAATGGAGTCGCGCAGCTGAAGCCTTATGTTCCTCTAGGAATTAAAGGATATAATAATAATTAATTTTTTATCATTGTCAAATTCAGACTGTCTAGTTATAAACACCTGAAACTACGCATTTGCGTTAACAGGGTAAACTATAAGCAGGCCTTCAGTTCACTATAATATGAGTGTCGCAATGTGTTGGGCAGAGCATTCATACATTTTATGCCCAATCAAACTTCTGTGATATTGCATTAGGTGTACATCATATATAAAGGCCTGGATTAATCAAGAAAAGAACCTGATGAAATCCTTCTTGCCTTCATAAAACAATTAGGTAAACGAAATCAGAAGTATGAAATACTCTGTTTTACCTATGGTGTCTTGACGAAGCTATCTCAGATATTAAATTCAGCTCCGGTTCAGTACGCTTACAAAAGAAGAATTACTGTCTTCGGCGGTAACATGTATATCATTTAGTAAACTTATTCATTAAATATCTCAGTTAGTAGTTCAAGCTACCATTGTTATACATTGCTGTTATCGTGGTTAGGGTTAAATATAGTAGGCTTAAACCCAATGAACATTGGACTTTAGGTGTTCTGTATTAGAATTCGTTTTACAGAAAGCTCCACTAGAATTTGGTTTCATGTTTGTTCACTTTTACCAACAAAACATCTGTACTGCTTTGTCAATAACCATATTCCTTTAGAAATTCTAAACGACTTCACTTGATTCTGAAGTTAAAGGTTAACATGATACCGATTGTACAACTGAATTATTGTATACGAATTGGACATTGGTCAGTAATTAATGGAGTTAAGTGGTCATAAATGCTGACAGAATTTTTTGGATTTCCATTATTTAAATGTAAACAAAGTTCACTGTAGTGTCAAATCACTTAACAACTATCGTCTACAGTCGGTAAGGATATTTAGATTGATGCGTAAGGTACTGATAGTGCTGTTGATAAACTACACTTCATCAGCTGTTACTAATGTAATTTACCTAGTTACGCGATTATTCAGAACTCTACCCAACTTGTAAGTACTGACGACAAACGCAAATTGAAAACACTCAGTTAACTGGAAATGTTCTGTGGTGAGCAGTATATTCGGGTAAAGTAAAAAAAGTCAGGATTACTCAGGGAAATAGACTTATGAATATGGCTATATTACAAACTCAAAGAATGCTGTTTTTGACAGAACAACAGAAAAGTTCAAAAATGGAGCTGAAAGCAGTCCGTATGTCTACACATTAAAACAAAATCTTATAATATTAGAAATTGCGCTACAGACGTTTAAAACTAAATGGCTGCATTAGTCACCACTTTTGCGAAAGTGTGTAGTAGAAATGCGCTAATAAAATATCAAGAAACTAGATGAATGAATTTCTGATGACGTCTGAAACTGACATTTTGGCTGATTGTTTTTACAAATTAGATTGTAACATGTTTAAACAGTACAGCGAACAAACAATGTGACAGTATCAATACATTCTTAATAGAAAACAAAACATGTTTTCAGTCAGTTAGTGTAAAAGTCATTATGTACTTTTAGTGCGTGTTGTATTGTATATACCTTTTTATTCACTCTTTAATATGCATACATGACAGGTTTATGAAGGATATATTTGTAGGCGTAAAGTGGTAGGTATATTTAGACATTTCAAATTTCATGCAAATTTCAGTAATGTCTTAGGTACTCATTTTTCTTTGTTCTCGGAAAATATTATCTTAACGATTTAATTATTTCCAATATTTATAATTATGTTCTAATTGAAACGTTTGTGCGTATATTCATTGATTTCAAGGTAGATTTTGTCAGCAACTCTCAAAACCCTTGAGAATGTAAAAGAATTGGATAGCTGTCCAAAACACTAACCACTGAAAACTATATGCCATGAAGGACTGAGAACCATCAAACCACCTGTGAAAATTACCCCTATTAACTCACAGTTGTTTAGCTTTGCTTATATTTTAAAGATTTATAAAGTCCTTTAAGTTGATCGACAAGTGGGAAGGAAAGCAATAACCTGATCTGGTCTTGAGGTGTTCATTAAACTCCTCCGTCTTTGTATAAATCACTGCAACAGCACAGTAGTTAGACACTGCATTAAACTCACATGCGTTTAAGACTGTTGCTAATTGTTTGCTTCAAAGGTGGTTTATTACTTAGGAAGATACTAGAATATAAATAGAAAAGTTAAAATTAGTGCAGTTGTATCATAAGAGTGATTATTTCTAAGTTTATTCATAAATCTAATTTCTTTGGTCATCAGTCTATTTGTAACGGTAGAACACTAGAGACTTGGTATTTATTTGGAATTTGATTTCTCTATATAGGAAAACTATGTACAGCCTATGTGAAAATCATCATTTGCACAGATTCTCTGTGTTGTGCTACTTCTGCACTTCGTATTATATTTCTTCCTCTTCTGTATGTGTCCCCCACGTTTTGCCATAATATTGGCTCACCTGCTTTCTTTGATTTCAAGTCTATCTCTCCTCTATTTGATATTTTTATGCCGACGGACATCTCTTTATATACTACCGGTAAATCTTTTCAGTAGTGCCTGCTACACACTGAAGTGGAGAGACATCAATGCAGTTAAAGACAATCGACTGAAACCCCTGGGCTTAAGTTTCATATGTATTGGCACTTTCCAGCAAGGTGTATTTGGAGTCTCGAAAGAAACAAATTCCCTCTCAGAAGTTTCAACTCTCATTATCGAACACTCCAGATACAGACGTTATCACTGAGTCATTTGAGACCAAAATATCTTTAAGTTTAAGTCAACAGCCTTCTATCTCTTGACTCCGACCATCTAACAGTGCAGTGAAATGACGTCCAGATTTCTAAATTGACTGACAGAATTTAACCAGCTCTAAGGAGTAGAGTCATAGGAGTTATTAAGAAGACAGTTGCAGCGAACAAAATTTTCTTTTCGACGAAGTCACCATCTAGGCTGTACATTCGTGTATTTATATCAAATGGATGGAAAAGTTCCAGAATAATTTCCGGTTAAGAGTCAAATTAATAAAAATTAAAATTAGGAATTAGAATGCCATAATAAACAGGGGGATGGATAAAACAAACAAAGTAGCATCATAATAACTAAGAAGACTGACATTGTGCAATTAGGAGTTAGAAATGTAGAAATAACAAAATAGACAGGATGTTTGGATAAAAAACTAATGAGATGAATAATTGTTTATGCAATCAGGGATTAAATACGTAGAAATAGTAAAATGACAAAATAAACACGAAGTTCGGGTATGAAAATATGGTAGTGTAAACACACGTTGTTCTTCAGTGATTAGTCAATATGATCGATAAGGTGTAATCATGATTATGCTACGAATATGACAGATTTTTTTCTATTTTACGGTGCCAAAAAAGTCACAAATGGAAGTTAGAAGACTAAATCAACAGAGTGGGGTTTCACCTCACCAAATGTGACAGTTCGATACATATGGAAACTCAATGGAAATCGAAAAGTTACATTAGGGCAGATGCACAAATAAACGTAAGTTAATGATGTACAGGGGCTAAATACAAACGAACTATTGTGGCCAACTTGTAGCCATAGAGCTTATGGTCATGAGCAATTCACCTGGGAATCTCAGGATTGAGTCTAGACAACACAAACACAAACTGCGTATTAGCCACATACAAGTAATCCAACTTCTCTGACATCTTTATTCTGCTTACTAAGTATTATAATTTAGAGACAACTGTGCTAGGAGCCTAATACTCAGACGAAACATTGATTAACAGACACATCATTGAAGGTCAAATTTACCAACTAAGGAAGAATAAGGCATACGACAAAAAAGGCTAATTCCAAGTCAATAAAGTCATTCATTACTGATGCAAACTAACAACCAATCACGTCAAAAGTTGTCAGAAAGGGAAATTATATCATTTTGTAAAGAACATTAGCGTTTAGTCACTGACTTAGAACATTATGGCCAATGTATATCAACTTTCACCACTTCATGATATACCACAACCTTCTTCCAGTGTCACCGGTGGTTAACTATCCTCAAATCCAACAAATCATAAAATAATCTGAAATAAATTTACTAAATGACTTTGGTTGGTTTAGTTTATTCTGTAGAGTGACTTTAATATAATGTTAAAAATGTCCATCGGTACAGTCAGTCGATCCATGTACTGATTAAAAATATGCTGAACATTTCAGCATCACGAAATAAAGACTTATAATTTATAATTTATGTAATATGTGATTATTGAAAATGAAGTGGAAATCTGGGTGACTTGGCGATTCAAACCAGCGACCCCTGTGTTACTTATCCTGTACTCTACCAGCTGACTCATGATACACAACTGCTAATTATGCGATAGTTTTATCTCCAATCATCACTTATTACACAAATTAGGGTCTACCGTTACAAGTCTGTCTCGGACAGTTTCACTATGAATTCATAATTTCTTTGTTCACATGTAGATTTATGAAACATCTAATTTTCAACGTTAGACGTTAAAACATATGCTAGTACTGGGTCTTCTGTTGCCCTTCACAATTATTTTATTATTTAGCACGCATGATATCATGCAAAAACTAAGTACTGGCCATTAGACTTACACATACAATTTATTATTGCAGATAATGTTGTGAATACATGCTGCTGGAGAGCATGATGGGTGAAAAAAGACAAAAATCGCCAACTCTTCCTGTCTCAAGTTGTTTTTTTACCACGTGTGTACAAAGTATCTTTATGCCATTATGACTCAGACATATTTTAAATCTTTTTCTACAGAACGTATTTGTTGATTTTCTGGCAAACGTAATCCTACTGGACATAGTCTATCGAATAGATTTTTCAAATGGCTAATGTTTCTGGGTGAGTAAAACTTTTTTGACTCTGATAGGAATTGAAAGTGTTGAGCAGTAGTGTGCTTTGTTATAGTACATTACCGTAGAACTAAGTGTTTGGATTTCGAATATTCTTAAGGCACAGAATCTTCTGAAAGTGTTATACGAGGAGTGTATATAACTAAACATAGAGTATTAATCAACGTAAATAGGTGACTTCGTGAGATTATGTGAAAGCGTAATAAATTGCGTTCGAAACACTTTCCAAATACTGCCACCAGTGGTTATATCAAATAGACCTACTGAATTTGGAATGAACGATTTTTCATCAGCGAACCTTAAGGAGAGAATGATCTCGGAAACTAGAATGTCACTCAAAAGGGAAAGAAGATCAAATAGGGCTGGCTAACAGTTGGAACCAATGGATCAACGCAAGGAGGAAAATACCACTAAAATAAGTGTTGATTAGGCTGATAACTTAGTTATAATGACAGAAACTTCTATACATGTGTAAGTCTCTTGTTACTGGTGGAGAAAACGGTCAGTCAAATTACAGGCAATATATCACAGTTGGGAAATTCAATTTATTGATGAGAGGAATGTAAACCTTTGGAAGATCACCACACAAGGAGCATATAAAATAAAATAGTTGAATTCTGTTTTTCAACAGTGATTCGATTTATCCTTCATTTTTGTTGGTGCTTATCACCTAGGTCAGAGCTGATTCTTTTGTTCGAGCTTGGATGCTGGATAACAGATAAATGCTAGAAGTGAATAAGTAAATGTAAAAGGTTTTCCAACGATTTCCTTTTGTGACGTGAGGCAGAATTATGGGAAGCGGCCAAAATTGAACTCAACATTTTGAGTCCATCACTTCAGAGGTAGAAGTATTTACTCGTCAAATCTGGATTCAGTTTACCTTGTGAACATGAAATAACCTCATTGGACAACTTTTCACCTCACTGTTTAACCTTAGTCTAATTGCCAACCAATGATACAATTTATTCACCTCTGGCCTAGTTGAAGTTTAATGTGACTATTTTAAATGTGGAAAGTGTACAGTTTTGATTTCTGGAAGAATCTTTAATTTTGTCTCACTCACCGATAATGCTTCACTGCTGCCACTTAAATTATTCATTTCCTGTAATTATTCCAGAAAATTTACAGTGCATTCTAATGCTAAGGAAAGGAGCATTCATCTTATATGTGGCGTTTCAATTGGTTTAAGTAACTGGAAAACTTTATACTGTCTGCCATCTATCAGTTGAAAAACACACTTTAGGGCGTATTTCGTTATAAACTGGTATCAACCCGATAAGTATTTATGATCAAGACGAAATTGGGAAGCTGTTTTATTGTAGTATGGAACTCTTAAACAGTAATCATTCGCAATCTTATTAGATTTTGACCCCTTAACTGAATAGTAACAAGATCATATAATGACCTGATGGTCCTATGACCTGTCTATCTGTCACAAGACCGTAGAGATACTTTGCTGCAGAATCACAAGCTAAGACCACAAAAAGAAAAGAGCGAAAAACTGAATAGTATGATATAGTATCATTTTGTGATTTGTAAATTAATTTGCGACTTGCAATTTACATAGTCTGAGGTGAAATTTCACCACAGTTTCCTTTGGAAACCAAAATTATTCAGGTCACAGTATGTGATCTGCTTGATACAACAAATGGTAATCAAGAGAACAAATATAGATGCGTAACTCTGCATACTGCTGATTGATTAATACAAGTGATTGGAAGCCACCATATCAATCAATAGTGCTTTCTGGACATATCTAGGTGATCGACACACTATTTCAGCCCTCTGAGGTCAATCAGATCAGGCACACCACTGATGAGCTCTACTTGAAACTAGTGAAGCGGCCATCTGGTGTGTGGATCACCTTGATCTAGCTACCAAGCATTATTACTCACATAAATCAGTCTGTAGTATATTTTGCGTCACAGTATCATTTCATTTCGTTGATTCTTGGCAGCCCTAAGACATCTGCAATTTCATTATGCAAAATATTCACATACTTTAATCAATTAGTTGGATGATTCTAACTATTATACATTATCTAAATGAATGCACTAAGGGTTAAGAGAAAAGCACTGTAGTTGAAATTAATCATGTTGGTAAATACAGAAAAGTTACAAAAATATTCTAGAGTCGGAAAAGGAAGCTGAATATTACTTAAGGGGCTTTAGAAATTAGTTGCCCATATTACTTATACTTTATCAGTTATGATGATTCGAAGTAATTAAAACAATTATAATAAACTGTATAGAGATCCGTACTTTGATCACAAGTGTGGACGAAGACAAAATAACAACGGTAACAGTACAAAATGACTTTGCCAAATTGAAACAGAGGCTTTTTACGGTGATACGGAGAAACGGAAAACCGTTTCTTTCACAATGCATAAGCTGGTTTTAGAGGTTTGATCGCTACGGTTCTGGTGATACGTAGAAGACTGAAACTAAATTCAATTATGTTACATGATTTTGAAACGTCAATCTCATGGCTACTATATGCTGAGTGATGATCGGTTGCACTAGTACTGTTTTACTACCAATGGTTCTCCAACCAGTTTTAGCTGACATCAGTGTCTACTTTGAAATTACTGAAATGTTTATTCGTATGTTACTGATATGCGTTTCCATAAAAATAGTCTGATTGAATAATTTTCCGTCTATTATTTTTATTGACTGTAGTTTTGGAGTAGCACGTTCATTAATTCACGCATTCGATCCACATGGAAAACGTTATAGACCGTCTGTTAGTCCTACACCAGGTTTCTCAGCTTCTGCTGATGCTGAAAGACTTCACAGAGCTATGAAAGGACCAGGTTAGTAATGATCTTCGATTCTTTTAAGCAGTCATATATATATATATATATATATATATATATATTTAATAAATACTTGATTTCAGTTAGAACGTGTAATTAATCATCCGAAAATCGACAGTATCTCGTCTAAAAGTAGATTAGTTTAAGATTGCAATTCCTGTACTCCTATGTTTACCGTGAGACCTTCAGTTTACAACCGCCTATTTTGGCACAGATTGCATTATTTCTTGAATCTTAAACAATGGAACACTTCACAACTGAAGTTTACTCCGAAAAATTTGAATTCAGATAGATAGGTGAATCAAATTAAAACTTCTCATAGATATGTAACATTTTGAATTATGATACTACGAAACAGGAAACAGATGGGGAAGAAAATCAGCGTTATAATGATACTGTAGACAAACATGAATGCGAAAGAATAGTGAATAATTAAGTGAAAATTAGGGACAATGTCAAGAGCTTAGGAACTGAAGAGTGGACGTGCAGTTACCATTGTTAATTATTATAAGAGGCGTCAACAAAATCTTCAGCTGATAGTTCCTATTATCCATAGAATCTCAACCAACTGTCAATCGATATATGCATAACTAAATTATACGTATTAAACACTTTCTTGTAGTTAGGTGACTAGAGCTCGAATAATTTGTATCGAATATGAGTTTTCTTGAGTCAGTAAAGCTGAATAGCACAAATAGGTATGCTGTTTATCTTCAAAACTTTCAACTGTCTAACATTAAACAGATTGTGTCACGTTAGTGAATTTGTCAGCAACATTGCAAACTTGGTTAACATAAAATAATCTGCTCGAGATTAGACAGATTTAAGAGGTAACAACTAATAAAGACTAAAGGGTATGGTGCTTAACTTAAATTTAGTTCTTAGGGTTTGTCTTTTTTTTATTCGACTTTAGAAATATTAATTTCCTGGTGGCATAAAATACGTTTCATTTAATCTATTATTCACCTTCTGGGTATACCTGCATTCTAGTTTGTCATAGGGTTTCTACTTGGTCTTGGAAGTGACACTTGTCTTTTTAGACTTCAGACTTTGAAACAGTTATCAGTATGTTGCGTAAATTATAAACTGATTAACTCAAGCTCGTCTAAATGAGGAATGGGAAATATCGGAAATCCCTTGAATAAACAATACGTGTCTTCTCGAACTAAGTGAATGACATTCTGATATTTTAGACAATGGATTTCGGATTTAGGCTTTATGATTACCATTATTCTCTTGAGTTCCAATTAGAACATAGCGCTTCAGACCCACATCCCCATTTTACTCTATTCTCTTCAAACCTCTTTAGCTGACCACATGATTATCCATAAGCTGTCATCTCTTCCTCCTCACACGATCTCCACCATGTCACTACCGGAGGCTCAACTCATTGTTTCTCATTCAGGTCCTACCACCACCATTGCCAAGCAAATTACATGGACTTGAAAATCATCAAAATAACGCTTAGGGTGTATATGCATATATCAACAAAGGCTGGCTAATTCGAAATAATTTCGACATATAAATTCCATTGGTAATTTATGCACTAAACCTACATGAAGTGTTTAAACAGTAAAGATTAGATAAATAGAGAGTTTCTACAAAATGATACATTGCTTGACTATCTCAGCGATTTAATAACAGCCCTCACACGGTAGACAAACATATACAGAAGGCAGACAAGATTTGTCTACTGGGAATAGCTCAATTGAGAGACAACAAAATAAGTAATTCAACATGGCGTATATACGATCAAATTTCGTGTATCTAATCCAAGAAAAGCCCACAGATAACCTGAAACTAGGGCAATTTTAATTTAAGCTTAGTAACAGTTAGTATAAAACCAGACATATTTTCTAACTTTTCTTTGTACATAGTAACTGGAAAATAGAGATAGTTAGACAGACAAGTAGATAGATCAGTAGTTGAACTTGTATAGCGCTAAGACATTTTCAGTCAATACAATTTTGTTTTGTTAGTTCTAGAATTGGACTAAAAATTGATGGAGACAAGGTTATACTAAATGCTCATTTGGTTACCGTTTCTGAAACTAACACAACAAAGAAATTCAACTTGTCGTAGTATACTACTAGCAACTGATGTGAGTAACAAGCTTGTAACTGTTCATGCAGTATGTGGTACCTGTAGTCAATACTTTTCTATAACATTTCGTTTAATAGATATATCTCCCCCGTTTATTGTGCGGGGGGGGGGTATCCTACACGAGTGTTGAATCTTCTCCATCACACGTATTCTTGGCTGACTGGAGAAACGTAGTTTCATTGGTCGAACTTTTCTATCCACCTCTCTTAGATGGTTAACAGAACTGTTAGGTTTTCCCATTCTTTGCACAAGGTAACACAAATGGAAATTTCAGCAGATTTCTCAAATTAACGGGGTGTGTTAGTTCTGGTTCACTTTCGAATAGTCTGATTGACAACAACCTACTATTCTGACCTATGCATTCAACGTAATCCCCTTCGCATAGTATTCTATTAAATCCTTTAGCTGGAAAGGCTCTTTTCTAAGTGACTTTTGAGGGGTATATACCACTGCAATATAGGAGTGAAATCTTAGTACTGTAGTAAAGTGTAGTTCCTTATTGGGTTGTTTTCTTTGATACACTGCACACTGATACCTTTTTATTTACGTTTAACTCTTAAAGCTCAGTTTATTGTTCATAAGGCTTATGTGCATTTGTGAATTCTCCAGTTGAGCTTTGAACAGAGATACTATAAATTTCACTGCTGCAGATAAAAAACGTGGGCGTCGTCACAGAGTGTGATTGCATTCTATATGGTCGATATGGTTTTAAGCGTAGAACTTAATTAACAATAAATAGCAATCAATGTGTTCAGTATCTAATAGAATGACTAAATAGGAGATCAGTGCCAGTTTTAAGTATTATTTCCGAAGTTCTCGTATCATATGGCAACACTACTGCTAATGCTTCATTGCAATTACCAGTCTCTAGCTATAAATTCCCGTAATTGTATTGATTCCACGCACTGTGTCATAAGAATCAAGCCAATACTCTTTGACTTCATGTATCGATATCACGAAGTGGTCTTACCTGCAGTTGTTTTCTTCTAGTCAAATCTTTCCTTGACGAACAAACCGCGTAGTGTATGTATCAGTCACACAGAGTAATGAGGATTTACAAATTCCTCTGCTGACTAATCGAAGACTATGTGTAATCTTCATTTTACGTAGTCCACACGATTATTCTGTTGAACATAGCTAATATTGTGAAAGCAACTGTCATTGTATAATTGAATTCTTCGCAAGCCTTCTACCATTACTGATTGTTTTTCACAATCATAAACCTAGGAATGAGCACAATGCTGTGCAATACAACCGATCTTTATCGAGCTATGAGACAATTCCCACCATACGAATACCAAAAGCAGCCTATTTTATTCTCATCACTTTATCAGGAATAACAGTGTGGGAACAATTTTCAGTATTTTGTGAGTAAAAAGTCATTTTACTTGGTAAAACGGTTCATTATACCTGGGTGATTTGAATTTTAGTGACGAATGTTTCGAACAAAAACTGTTTATCAGATATTACTGCCTATATAACAAATGTAGATGTAATTTACAAATGATTTCTCACGCTGTCATGAATTAATATTATACATTCCCAGTTTATGACTGTTAATATATATATATATATATATATATATATATATATATATATATATATGATTCATATATTAGACACACACTACTTATTGCTGTGAGTAGTTGAACCTACTCGCATTAATAAATGTTGCTTATCATGCAGTTTGAAGCAATTTAAACACTGTATGTCCACTTCCAAATTAATTCTAATAGCTCAATTCTTTGTGCATTTTTATTGACTCTGACACTGCTAAAAATCTCAATGAAGGTTTCATTCACTACATTCAGAGAGGTCATCATCTAAGAAGGTATTACTCATGAGCTACAAATATTCTTCAACATTTTGAAAAAGAATTCATAAGGAGTTAATTCATAAAGTGTAATAGGTTAAAAGTAAACTAAAATGATTAGCAGACAAGTGATCCAACTTGTAATTATTTTAGTAACATATTAAGCAACCCACTGAATAAATTGGTTTCTGAATAGATCGTTGGAAATAACAACAATTCAGAATACACTGTGATGGCGAGCCAACAAGCATGCTGGCTACATTGCAAACGTGACTGACAGAATTCCGTTTGCACCAACCGAAGGACTATACTCATGATAATAGTTATTAGCTAATGTTCAATCAAAGTGATTCCAGTGATCAGTTTTGTAGTTTTAATCGTACATCAACATAATGCATGAAATCAACTATTTGAGTTCAGTTCACCTAAAACAGGGAGTTACAATTTTTAAAACAACCAGCGCTAATTTTAACGTATACTGTTGTTTTCACTCAGTAGTTTCATAACGTTAACTGTTAATTAGAGTTTGACACCTACAACAATAAGTACTAGATTCAAGTGTCACCTAAAAGTTAAATAATTATGAAGATATGAATGAATTCATATGGTGAGTTATACTCATTGTCAGATTACTAACGTATTCTGAAGATCTTCCATTTTAGTTTGTCAGTATCGTTTGAACTTCTTACAACCTGAATAAATGAAAATTAGTAATTTTATTACAATTTCAACATAATTTAGTTTGTTATAGAAACTGATGTTGAACAATAAATAAGAATGATCATGATATCTAAAAGATGAATTTATATGTTAATTTAGTAAAATGCAATTAGTTTCTATATTAATATATGTAATGTAACAGAAATCATTCGAAAAAAAATAGACGAGGATAGCAGCAATACATTCAGGGTCACAAATTATTAGATTAAACACACACCATTACAAAACTTTAAGTAGATGAATTAAATATTTCCCAAAACGCTGTGATTTAAGCCCACTTATCTAGACATCACATATGTCAAGTATGGTATTTAATATGAAATCAATACTTACATTGAATATATTTAAAAGTTAGGAGCGA